GAAACAAAAGCATTCCTCTAGTCTAACCTGAGGGTGGAGTTATAGATGCCTGTTTAAGCCTACACAGGATGAAAGCCTTGAAGCCACAGTGCATAAACTAGTGAGTACGTGTCTTTTACAGCCTGCAGTCTGTGGTGTTGTGTTCTTGAGTTGTGCAAGGACATTCGCAGTGTTTGTGTTAAAAGGACGAGAGGGACGCGGACATTTTTCTGCAATGGCTCTGCTTAAAAGCTGCTTGGGTACACATTAAAACAAGCTGGCAGAACTCACATTGTCTGGTGGTTTATCACGTAGCCTTATCAAATCGTACTGACCTCACAATATTTATGGTCATTTACTCAAATCGGAGTCCTGTATTTCATGGCATTTTATTCTATCTATCCCAAAACTGATTTCAGATCAGGCCCCCCTTACAGAGAGAAGTGTATGAAACAACATCTCTGTTTATCCTGAATTGGTGTGTCATGAGAGGAGAAGTGAGGATTTCAGTCAAATCTCACATTGTTAGGATTGTTTTCATGTGTTTCTCTATGAGACAAGTAACTGATTAAACCTTCACACAGAATAATTATCAGGAAGTGAAAAGTCAAGTCCAGTTTCACCTGAGGCTGGCCCCATGGATGCCCGAGTAACCCTGCAAACATCGACTTTGCTTTTGTCTTTGTGTATGCGTTGCTTACTCTCAGAGTGTACAATAAAAGAAAGTAAAACTAAAAGCTATAAGGAAGACGAAAAAAATACTATAATTACAGATAATGTTGGAAAAATCAATTGAAGCCAAAACATGAATTGATTGATAATCAGTTACAATATGTCTGTAATGTAATTTTAAATGTCACAGTTTTCATTCAAGGAGCCGTTACTAAATCAGATCACTACATGATATTAATTCGTGAAAAAAGGAGACAGTGTGTTTTAGACAACATGTCATAAGCGACAGTCTGGGGCAGACTGTCTTATGAAATTTGTTTATTTCTTTATAAAGTACTCCAAGCTCATTTGGAGGAAAAAATGTTCTGTAAATTCCCATCTAATTGACAAAAACACTTTGTTGAAAGAATCCATTTCTGATAATTTTGGTCTTAGCGGTCTTAGTTTTAATTTACACCTAAAAAAGATTGGTGTTTGGTCCAGGGTGTACCCTGCCTCTCGCCCCATGATAGATGAAATGGGCTCTAGCCCCCCCTTAACACAGAAAATCTTATGTCTTATACCTTATTTTCACAATTCCAACCAATCAGACAAATTGAAAATTGGATTTATGAAGTGCAGTATCTTAAAAAAGGTACTATATGAAATCCCACATACAGACTGGATACAAACAATTTTAGACAACATAATAGCTTCTTTCTCTATGAAGTACCCCGAGCTTATTCCTGGGAGCAACTGTTTATTAAAATTTAAATTAATTGAGATAAATACTGAAACAAAAGAGTACACCATTATTATTATTATTCATCATTTTAATGGTTTCTTTTTTAATTTGGCTCAACAACAGTCTGGCGATCTGGCAATGGTCTACTCTTCCTTTCACCCTATGATAGCTCAGATAGGCTCCAGCCCCCCCTATGACCCTGACAATCTTTACATTTTGATCTCTAATGCAAACCAATGAAATATTCTGTTTTATTTGCCATTCTATTGAAGTTGGGTAATAAAAAACTGCCTATATTGTAATCTGAATTTTAATTCAGAAAATTACCTTTGTGTATGTCCATGTATCTTAGCAGCAGCAGCTTCTTGATGTTTGTACTGCACTTATGGCGTTGATCTCCCAACTCTTTTTAGATTGACTCTTTTCTTATACTATACTGTATACAACTGTACTTGCCTGTTATGTTTCCTCTCTTACATTAACAGAAATAAATGATGATTTGAGTTTGCAAGCCTTTACTGTTTAAGTCAGAGTTCAGTTACACAGGTACCACTCCGCTGACATACCACCCTGTCCATGAGAATACTGATCATTGTAGTAGTAAACAAAAAAGAAGATCCTGATTACCTTTTTTTAAAAATATCTAGGCAATGTATTTTTCTTTTAGATAAATAATAGTATCTAACAAAGTGCGAAAAACATTTGACCATCTCAAGTTGAAGCCATAAACAAACACATTTAAATGATGTGACGCGTAGCTTTTCCATAAAACATCACAAACTCAGTCCGAGAAACAACTGCTCAGTGAAATTTCACTTCATTGACAATTGACAGGGAAGTCAAGGACTAAAGTTGTAATAAGGAATGAGAATAATAACACTCAAAGCCTTTTTCATCCATTCACTTTTTTTATGCAAGTGCTTTCTATCTAGCATTCACACACGTTGACACTCTTATGGACCCATCGGAGAGCAACCTAGGGACTGTCTTTGGGCAAGACAGAATTCAGAATTCGGCTTTGCTGTCTTCATTTGGTAATAAGATATACCATTTTGTATAGTAAAAAAAATGTTGTGTACCTTTTTTTGTCATCAACAAAATGTAGTGCTTTTGTTTATGCAATTAGAGTTTTAAAGAGAAGGAAAGCAGGAAGCTCAGGTGGTGTGTAAAACCAAACTTGTATTCAATTATTATTTGTTGATTTTTCTTCATCCTTCAACAAAAACCAGCCGCATATTGAGCTTCAAAGAGATAAATGTAATAAACTGTATTCAAATGGGCCCAGTACAATTAAAGAGTTAAGAAGCTATTTTGTCTAAATAACTTATCTTACCTAGTAAAACAAGTCTAAGGTGGAAATTCCATCAAGATTGGATCAACTGTTTCCACTTGTCCAACTGTTCAGTTTGTTGGTTTCTTTTGTTTGTTTGTTTTCTTTTTCTTTGCTTACTATTTAAAACAACCAAATATTCCAAATAAAAATTCTATTCTAAAAAAAAAACAATTAGGGAAATACACTCCGGAGCTACCACTTACATCGTGCTAAAACTTTGAGGAATTGAAGTTATTTGTCATAAATGTTTGCCTCCAATGTTTAGCTAAATTGTGTATGGACAAATACTATGCATTTAAATGTTGGTTTCGTTTTCCAGGGGTGTCCTACTGCTCCTAATGTAAATTATTTCTGCAAGATCATCAATAGAAACTAAAAAATTTTATTTATTTTTTTAAAGGACAATCTGACATGAAGAACAATGTGGTGTTCTGGACTCTCGACTTTTACCTAAGATGACTCAAACAGTCTGGATAAATGGACTTATGTCCGATCAAGATCATCAGCAGCTCCCTAAAAGGATCTGTGCTCTCACACTTATTTATCCTGTGCACAAGTAAGTGTCAGAGCAGAGCAGTGGGCCATTATAAAGTATGCAGATGACTTTGTTATTGCCATTCAGCTCCAGGACAATGAGACCAACCCAGTGTTAGATGGTGTGATGAGCACTGAATTCAACTAAACATTTCTAGCACAAATGATCTGATCACTGGCTTATAAAATGTAACTCTTAAACAAGATGTCACAAAAATAAGACTCAGACAGTGAAATATGTTCAGTCTTACAAATATCTTGGAACAATTATTGTGTATACTGAACTTTGAAACAAACTAAAGCTGTCTGTGTCTGTCATGTCGGAGGCACACTGGATTTCATTTCCAGCTGCTTTTACTGAGCTTGTTTTCTCTTTGGTGTCAGTCTTGAATGTTACCTGAAAAAAAACAAAAACATTAAGTTAAATTGTTGGTCTTAAAGGCTGGTCAGTGAGCTACAGCTGCACCCAGTATCTCCTATGATTGTTTTGAAAATGTGCATGTGAACACTGTTATTGACGTTAGAGAAACAAAAACATGATACTCAACTTCAGGAGTGACTGCATTTCTGCACTTCAGCCTGGCACACCCACCTATTGTTAGATCCCTGATGAATGCGTCAAGCCTGCAAACAGATTACAAACATGATTTTGTATGCTTTCGTGTGTGTGACTCTCAGGGTGTACAATAATAGAAATCAAAAGTAAAACTGGAATGAAAAATAAAGCAATACAATAATAACAGGCAGTTTTGGTTTTAAAATAAATGTTCAGATTATTTGGTAATCTATTACAAGAAAATATTTAATTACCTTTTTTACACTATGTAGTGCTAAATCAGTTGCTTCAAGGCATTTTATACTCTAAAGTAAAGACCGGACAATAATGGAGAGAATGACACTTGGCAACAGCGGGAATGAAAAACTCCCTTTTAACAAGAAGAAACCTCCAGCAGAACCAAGCTGACGGAGAAGAAGCCACCTGCTGCAAATGTGGCTTAGGGGAGAAAGACAGCACAAAAGACACACTGTGGAAGAGAACCAGAGATTAATATTGACTTATGATGAAATGCCGAATGGTGTATAGACACACAGTGAGTGTAAAAGGACAGTAAAGAAGAAAATCATCATGGGAAGCCTCCTGCAGCCTAAGCATTTTGCAGCATAGCTAAGGGAGGATTCATGGTCACCTTATCCAGCTGATCTAACTACATGCTTTATTAAAAACAAAAATGTAAAGTCTGATCTTAAAAGTGGAGCTGTTGTCTGTGTCTTTGAGGTGACAGACAGATATTGAGGTGTGCACTTTCTCTGGCTTTCCAAAAGCACCAGAATCTATGGCAGTTTGTATGCTGCTCTAAGCAGCTTTGCCACCTTTACTTATACTGGTCTTCCCACACTGGTTAACAAATGTACTTAGCACGCGCACAAATAAAAGATGCCCTCAGCAACACAGAGGGAACCTGGACAAGAAGTGTTGTGCAGTGACAATAACTATTTTAAGAAACAATACAGAATAAGGAGGCATAGGTGCAGTGTTAATTACTTAATTTTCACTATAAATACTTCCTAGCAAAGAGCGACAAGAAACTGGTGCTTGCTTGGTTGCCCCAACCCTTCAGCCTTGACAAACAGCATTCCAGCAGCAGATTCTCCAAATTGATTGGCCAAGGGAAGGGACGATAGAGTATATAAAGCCTGGGCTAAAGAACACCCATTTATCTAAACCAAATGATTAAATTTGGTTTAGATTAAAAAAAAACTAAACAGTAGTAAAAGTTCTTCACAAAGTCGAAGTGCCGGGGAGGGATCTATCAGCAAAATTTCATAATTTATAATGAGTAAAAAACACAAGCTCACTTCAGAAAGTAAACCTTGTATCCAAGAAGCTGGTGGAGGAATACATCTGGTAAGTGCAGCAATGAATCTTCTTGCTTTTCAAAATTCATGTTTTTCTACGTAATGTTGTCAGATATTATTTATTATTTTGACCCATGTAAATGTACATCTCTGGTGTCGTCTCTCCTTCATATGTTATTGCTGACTCAGCCAAATTTTGCAAATCTTCTTGGTTAACAATAATTGTGCGATCAAAACGGCAGATTACACAGAACAATTTGTTATATATCAACCTTTTTTTCCCACAAAGGAGGATCTTCATGAACATGATCAACAAAGGTAAGCCTATGAAACAAAGTGTTATAGTCAAAACAGCTCGTGAACTTGGAAAAGTACAAGTAATAAGATTGTGGGGTAACTGTGGGATAAATATCTTTGAATTTATCAGTGTTTATTATTCATGTTGTTTTATCTTGATTATTTAACAGTAATACTTTAACTCGTACTTTAACTCAAATTGAATTCTGTGTTCCAACTTGCTCTGAATTCAAGTTGTTTTAACCTCCTAAGACTCGAACTCTTTCACAACATGCATTTTTAATTTCTCTTTGATATTTGGTCACACTGGGACCTGATAAATGTAAAAACAAAGAATTACCAGATTTTTTTTTAACCTTATTTTTGTTTCTAAGAAAAATGAGAGCCACATATGAGGATATTCGTTTAAAATTTTGATAGAACAGTGGCAGTATAACGTCCTCGTAAGTGGATATCAGGCCCTTGTAGAACAAAATTGAGTATTTTAGTCTAAATAACCCAAAATGTGATGTCCACATATGTGGACGCCAGGTCCTAGGAGGTTAAACGCATTGCAAAATACAACAATTAAATTAAATACCTAATGGTTGTATTTTACATGTTATTCAATTCAGTTTGGTAAAATCTGGGACCCCAATAAATAACAAAGATCCCTCCCCCAACCCTGGCTCGAGTTCCTGTTTATCTGTTGGTGATGGCGTAACTATTCAGTAAGTATTCAAATCTGTGTACGTTTTAAAGGATTTATCGAATAAAAAGAAACAGACTAATGGTACTTTAGCAGTTTGCAGCTACATGTTTTTTTGTGTTATGGGCAGCCAAACAGTTATAGTTTTACATAATTTTTCACCATTTTCTTTCATGATTAATTTAAACATTTTTTATTATTCAGGAACGAAGGCCAGCAGCAGGAGGAGCCTGGAAGTCCGGAGAATAATATGGAATTATATGAAATAATCAAACATGTTATGCAAAATAAGTATCCTAATTTTTTTAATGAAATAAATGTGAATAATGATGATGAAAAAAAAGAGAAAATCGACAGTTTCATAGAAGAAATATCTAATTTAATAAATCCTGACAAATTAAAATATTCCGACAAATCAAACATCTTTAAACGCGTGATGGATGACTGGAAAAAATTACAGGAAGCAGAAAACCCCATTTGTACGTTTTTGTGTCGATGTTTAAAAAGGATTCCCAAATTAAAGACATCTATAATAATATTGCTAGTACGGAACTTGATTTGGCCTCAAGGAGCAATAAATAGTAAAATTCCAATTTGTCTTGATAAATTTAGGAACCCATTGTTTAACCACTATTTAAACACTGGAGAAAAAAATAAAATAAATCAGTATGGATTTTATTTGATCTTGATGAAAGATGGTACCCAAATTCCTTCTAAAAAATTTCCCCAAGATTCAAAAAACAACACCCATACTGAAGAATTTATAATTCCAGAATTGGTTGAATTTGTATCAAAACATGGAAACAAGGTAAAAAAAAATTTTATATATTCATATAATAGCCCGTGTTTAAAAAGGACTGACAAAAAAAACCCTTGTATGTTTCAGCTTTTGCGCAAAGCTTGTGAATGGTACGAGGAGTATCAAATCTTCACTGATGTGGCATTCACACATTCCTATGGCATATGTGGTCCAAACTATTTTAATTATCTTACATTTGACGAAATCTCATCTCCCAACAGTGGTTTTAATTCTTATATTGAAAAATGTAAAAACACTAAAAGTGAATTGGAAAATCAAAACGTACCAAAACTTATCAAAAGGAAGCTCCTCAAGGCATTGGATAAAGAGAAAATTGATATAAAGACACTTAAAAATGATGATATTCGAACCGCATCCAATTTTCTAAAGGAGGCAGAAAGTTCATTTGATCTGCTTAAAAAGTTCTTGGTCAGTGGACGGGAAACTCATTACGTTTCCTTCAAATCGCCACCAAAAGTACAGGCAGAAATCTATAAAATACTGAAGGAGAACAACACTTTTATGCGATCAATGAAAAAGTGCATTAGAGAAGATTTAAATAATGCGATCTCTCTTGTTTTTAGAAAGAAATTGGAGTCAATTCTAGGAAGCAGAGGCTTCTTCCGCCTTCACCACATTCCTCACAGTTTTCTCTGTTAATTGAATAACCAATACAACAAATGCATTTACAGAATACTCACTGCTATTTGGATGTATTTGGAGGAATAATTAGCATGTTATGTAATTTCACAGCTATCCAGTTGTTTTACTGTCATCCTTCTATCTCCTTGTATTCAGTCCCCCTTTGCTTTATTAAAACTTTCCTGTAAAACAACCACTTTTTGGCATCTTATGTTGTTTTCTTTTGAGCTTTGGATTGAGGGCACCATAAGATAAAGACTGTTGGACACTGTAAGAATACAATTTAGTACTGATATTTGTTTCCTCTTCAAAGTGTTCATCATCTGTCTGTTTACAGAATCAAAACAGTGACAAAGATCAAAGTCATGGTTAGAATTCAAACCCAAACCCACCAATTAACTAAACTAAGAGAGAGGGTGAGCTTCCACAGTGAGCTACCAGAGATTGCAGTCTTCGATGTATAAATAAAAGCAAATAAATAAAATACAAATTTTAAAAAGTTGCTAAAAAACAGTTTAAATAGTTTGTTGTCAAAGTTTCAGCCAAAACATTATCCTCCTAGGACCTGGCGTCCACATATATGGACATCACATTTTGGGTTGTCTAGACCAAAATACTAAATTCTGCTCTACAAGTGCCTGATATCTACTTACAAGAACATTATACTGCCACTGTCCTATGGAAATTGAAAACAAATGTCCTCATATGTGGATCTCATTTTTCTCAGAAACAAAAGTCAGGTTTGAAAAAGAATTTAAAAAAAAAATTAAAAAAAAAAAATATTAGGCAATTCTTTGTTTTTTTTACGTTCATCAGGTCCCAATCAGCCCAAATAGCAAAGAGACATTAAAAATGCATGCCATGGAAAAGTTCGGGTTTTAGGAAGTTAAAATTAGTGTCTTTCTTCAGTGAGGTCTGAGAGGCCACCAATAGAAACAACTGAGCTAATGCCACATAGTGCTGTGTATACCATTATCATTTAGCTGGACAATCCACAGAAACACAAAAATGTAATGTTCTTTATTAGTATTTTATTAACCATTACATGACCTTGTTAGGTACCACTGTGCCGGCACATGAAATTATCCTCTTTGATGTGGAGCTTTGATAACTGACACAAACAAGATACAAATGAACATCCCTGTATATAATACTGATTTTAAACTCAAAATAATCAGCAATAAATATCTCAAAATGACACAAGATAAAAATGAAGAACGTTCTCTTCATAACACAAAATGACTTTTCAGTATGTGATGTGTTTTTATTCAGTGTAAACATTAAATTAAGGAGAAGAAAAAAAAAAAGTTTTGTTTCCAAGTTTTGGCCCTAAAATACCAAAGATAAAATGTAAATTTACAAGCTGATTCCCTACACTGAGATGGAGTTAAATGTCTCAAGGAGAAAAGTAAATGTTAATTTAAAATTCAATAATCACTTCTACTACCAGAAGTCTTTACTGAAGTCTGAGGTTCCTCTGGTCTCAGTCAGAGCATGTGATTTGTCAAGACTAAGAATGAAAAATACACAGAAATGATTAAAAACTGATTTAAGCCCAGAGAATGAATAAGGCAAGCAAGCTCATACTGTATATACAGTCAAGGTTACTATTTACATGTTGGTGTTTACATGTGGTTCAGCAACTTCAGCTAACAGTGGAGGTGTGCTTTGGCTCCCCCTACTGGTTCAAGAGTCACACTGCTGACAGCAGTAATGAGCACTGACCTCCTCATGCTCTCGTGTACTCAGTATACTTAACGCAGTGGCTGACAACCAGAAGTCCAGTAACTTTAGAAACACCCACAGCCTGCTCTCACTCTCCCTCCATATCTGAGACTAAAATAATCACTCGCAGTAGTTTTATTTGTGTCACTATTCACATATTTCTATAGTCCATCCAAGCTTCCAGTGTGCAGAAATGCTATTAATCAGGTCAAGTGTCACCACACAGCTGGATAGAAGGAGTAAAAGAAAACGCAGAGGTGCTGAGTCACTTTGTAATGTTGAAAGGAAATGATATACAAACATCACTTCTGTAGTGAAAGTGGATAAGTTAGCTCAAAAACACCAGCATGAAAGTCATCACTCATTGGCAGCATTGCCTTCACAGATCCAGCTGAGCACAGCTGATCATATTAATTACTAACATCACAGATCATAGTTACATATGACCTCAGAGTAGCGTCCAGACCGAGGATCACAAAACCAGCACTGAACAAATAATTCATCATCAGCACTGTGTGTGACATGAAAGAGTGAGATCTGAACGTGGCAGAGCCAGACTCACTCAGAGGAAACAGACCAAGGACAAGCTAATAATGAAACTTTAGAAGCAAAAAGAAAGAAAATAATTAGTTTAACATTAACCAAAGACAGGATACACTGCTGTGAAAGAGTGAGGACACACTGGTCCTGAGTGACAGGTGTTATGAGCTTAACAGCAGTAAGGATGGATACACTCATCCACTCATTAATTAATGTAGGCCTCAGAGGTGGTTTTGCCTTTTTCTCCTTAGTTTAAAATGATGGCAAAATACCGAGAGCCCAGAGTTCCAGTTTTCAGTGCTTCAAAAGACAAACTTTGGACGATTTCTATCACACGGTCAGGTCAAGATTAGCTGAAGACTGTGGCCTGTGTGAAATCAAAAAGGAAAAAAGTCTCAGTTAAATCTCAGCTAAATTCTCCTTAAAGAGAACGAGACATAAACAAGGGCCTGTAACTTTAACAGAACTGTATTTAAAATGAATGTATGTATGTAAAGTGTATATGTGCGCTTGTGTGGACACCAAACAGGAGGAAGGGACTGCAGGCTGTGGGTGGAGCGAGTGGAGGCCAGTGCATGTGTGGGCTGCAGGACTCATGGTGGCGTCTCTGCGTTATTAGTTGTCGTCTTCTTCTTCACTGGCTTCTTCACTGTCTTGGTTTGAGTCTGGCCGCAGAAGAAGAAAATAAAGAGAGATTATTAGAGCTGATCAATCAAAGACTGGTAAAATGAGTGGTTTCACTAACAAAAGTACAAATATTATTTGCATTGTAACTGCTGCTCAAAGCATGTTTAATCTGTGTAAACAGTGAAAACAAAGTCTCCATAAAGAGCAGCGTGTGATTTCTGAGTGAACTGTTGATGCTGCAAAACACCACAGGAACATTTGATGTATATACAGTTGGTGCAGGTAGTATCACTTGCCTGTGTAATTACAGGTATGATTATATGAACTCACAGGCCACTTAATTTCTTGTGAACGCATACATGTAATTTGTAGGTCAGAACTAAATGTAGGTCAAGAGGTAATGTGTGCAACATGAAATCATTTATCATCGTTTTACTGGAAATGAACTGTGTTAGTAACGAAATACATATATTACTATTACCAAATTAAAGTAGGTTAATTGTTGAGGAAGAAAAAAATACTAGGAAATACTGACAATGCTACACTTATTGGTCAGATTATTAGGTACACCTTGCTAGTACAGGGCTGGGGCCTCGTCTGCCTTCAGAATTCTTCAAGGCACAGATTCAACAAGGTGCTGTAAGATTTCTGTCCACACCCATTCTCCCACATCCCAAAGATGCTCTATAGCAGCGGTCCCCAACCTTTTTTGCGCCACGGACCGGTTTGTGCCCAACAATATTTTCACGGACCGGCCTTTAAGGTGTCACGCATAAATACAACAAAATAAAACTAGTACCGGTACCGAAAAAAAAGATTTATTCATAACACACGTGAAAAGACCCAGGAAAACAGAATTAACGAAAAAAAAAACGATAACAAAATAACGATAAAAAAACGATAAAAACCCTGAAAACCAAACATTTCACACCCGAGTCTCACTCTCACGGCCCAGTACCAAATAACTCACGGACCAGTACCGGTCCGTGGCCCGGGGGTTGGGTACCGCTGCTCTATAGGACTGAGATCGGGTGACTGTAGAGCCCCTGGATATTTTCTCTTTTTCAGACCAGTCTCTGTAAACCTTAGAGATGAATGTGTGGGAAAACCTCAGCAGTTTCCGAAATACTCTGACCAACCCATCTGGCACCAAAAAACAAACAAATCACTTTCAAAGTCACTTAAACAACATTTTCCCTCATTCTGATGCTCAGTTTGAACTTCAGCAGGTCATCTTGACCATGTCTACATGGCTAAATGCAGTTGCTGGGTAATGAGCATTTGAAGGTGTACTTAAAGTGGCTAGTGACTGTTGTAATATACAATTTAAGAAAACTGCCCTGTGATTGACAAATCTACAAAGCGTGTATGCCCTACCTCTGTCTTAGCAGCAGCAGGCTTCTTGGTTGCCTTGACACTGGTACTGCGTTTGTGCCCTTTATCTCCCACATCCTCATCAGAGTGTTCGGTCCTTGTGTCTGACAGGTCAGAGCTGTGTTGGGACGATGTGTCATCAATAAGGGCTGCCACAGAGCGAGCTGCAGGACAGGACAGAGATTGATGGACAGTCAGTGAGAGTAGCTGAATGTTCAGAGTGACATCACCACATGATCTGAGAGACACCAAACATCACACTTCTGCATTTTACTGCTGCCACAGAACTGCTTAATTTACAGATTTATTTGGTGTAGCCTTGAACCAGTGCATCATCACAGACAGAGCCTTTGACGCCACCTAGTGGAGACTTCAATTTATCTATTTTTTTTAATAATATACAGCCACCAGTTTTAAAATAAAGAGAAAAAAAAAATGAGTCACTTCCATCTTTTTAAGTGTTTGTTTTTTTTTGTTTTGTTGTTTTCATTTACCCATTTTCCAGAGACTCAAATTAGCTTGTGAAATCATTTTTATCCTTTGCTTTTGGGAGACATAAAATCAGAAGAACTGGTCCATTAGATTACAAAGTTTTCTTTGCAAATGTTAAATTAGGAAGGAAACTAAACTGTTTGTGTGACATCTAGAATAGAAAAAGTGTTTTATTAAATAAAATTAGAAAAATCCCAAACAGCAACTTTAGGAGCTGCAAAGCTACAACTCGTTACTTTAGTGATGATCTGCAGATCATTTAGAATAAAAAAGAAAAGAAAAGTATTCCAAAATAAATAATTTTGAACATGCTAGTTCATAAAAGTTAGGGTCTACTCATTTACTAACGCCACTGCAGATTTCATTTGAACTCTGACTTCAGTGTTTTGTTTCAGCTGTTTTCAGTCTGGTTTTAGAAGTCATGTGTAAATGAACAAAA